GGGTGGAGAAGCACTGAGCCCCGGGGCCATTCCTGCAGGGATCAGGTGAGTGCCTCCAGGGAAGGAAACCCACGGCAGCACCAGAGCACCGGCACCTCTCTGTGCTTTCAAGCAATCCGTGCCCAGCCAAAGTTTGTATCCTTGCTTTATTTGCTGTGTGGTTAATTTGTAATCACTGGCGTGATAAAAGGCTGCATAACCAGCAGCAGAGTTCAGGCAGCTGATGAATGTGGGGGATGCACCAGATAAGCCTCGTGTTTTATAACAAAACCTTTGGTAGCTCTTTCACCTTTGAGCACTACCTGCCAGGCCACTGTAGCCCCTTGAGACCTCTGAAATTTACTCACCTCACGGAGCCATCACCAAGCCAAAATTTTCCTAGATCTGTCCCCAGACAGAAAGGCTGCTTCTGAACCTGAGAGCCCACTATCTGCCACATTCCTCCAGATTCCAGCTTTGGAAATACCCGAATGAAGAAGCAGAAAAAATCACTGGTGAAGAAAGATGTAGTGAGGCAACAAGGACAGAAGCCTGAGGTGCATATCTCAGTAAACATCAGACCCAACTACAACAGTTTGCTAATTAGGTATTAGACCTGACAGCAAGGCTTGGACAGCCCCACAGACTCGTTAATCACTCACTAACAATGTATCAAGTGACACAGTGTTCCAGAAAATGGCTCTGAATAGAGAAATGGAAACAGCAAATGCAGAGCACACGTCCTAGTTGAGAAGGCACAACAGAGCTGCCTACAAATGGACAGGGACAGAAAAATTCATGAGCAGTCATCCAACCATAGGAAAGGAGAACTAGATTCCCATCTAAAACATGAGATTTAAGACGCCTGAACACAGAAATCCATCACGGAACAAATTAAAAACAGAATGCCACCCACCTGAGGCAGCTCCTTGTGAGCACAGTTTACTCCTCCAATTGGAATGATGTTGGGCATCAAGGGTCTTGGATAGTCAAGCACAAATTCCAACCTCAGCAGCCAAACAGAGCCCTTCCGTAAGAGATCCTGCACAGTCACCTCCCTCTGCAGGAACTCAGAAGCCAGTTTTGAGAATGGGTCAAAAGCAAAATCACAGAGGAAGAGATTTTGCGTGTCAAAGAGTAGGTTCTTCACCCGCTGCAGAAAGGTCATGCGGTCTGTCAGTTGAGAAAATGCCCTGGGCACATAGGAAGGAGGATTGGGACACTGAGTGGCTTCAATATCTAAACCACATGGGATTCCTCGTAAGAAATACACAGAAGGAAGTGAAAGATGCTCAGCCAGGATCACCCCACAAGGTATTACAGGGTCTGTAAGAAGGGCATCGAACTTGCTCTCCTCAAGGTACCTGATGAGCTCTTTGTTTTGAAGAAGGTTTTGACACCAAACAGCTGATGTATTACCGAACTTTTTCATAACTTCATACATTTTAAGAAATCTTTCCAGAAAAGATCCTTCTTCAAAAGAAGTATGTACAAGCGCCTTGAAATCTTTTTCGAACTCTTCCTGTGTGTAGGGACCCGAGAACTTTTTTATCACATAGTTTTTTGATGGTTTGATGTGCAAAGAGACTTCAGGTGCCAGGACAACCACCTCGTGTCCCTTCTGCTGGAGCATGTCCAACACCTCCCGCATGCTGAGCCAGTGGCTCCCGTCCACCGGCACCACCAGGAGCTTCCCAGCAGCAGCCAGACCCAGCA